TGGGGAGAATGCTCCTCAGAAAGGTTTTCAGAGATACAGGTGCAGTGAAGAATACAGGTGCAGTGATGAGCATAGCTTACATGAGAATCCACTGGGTTTGTCTGACACTCAAAACAGTCTGTTTGAAATCACAGAGAACATCGGGGTTTTATAGCAAAAATGCTTTGCCAGTATTTTCCTTTCTTTCTATTCTCCAGTAAATACAGGAAGCTAAAGAGAATAACATCCATAGACATTCACAAATATATGAGCCTCCCCAGAGAAGCTGTGATGTAGCAGGCATGTTTCATGTTTCCCTTAACTACCACATCAGATATGTTACCTCCCCAATTCAGTCCATTTGAATGTGTATCATGATTTTATCTCCCCATGTTTTTCTTTATGCTTGATTTTTAGCAGTCTTGGTTGATTACATGGTTAATGAGATATCATATGAGTTCAAATTTATGTGTTCATCGCTGGCGCAGCGGCTCACTAGGCTAATCCTCCGCCTTGCGGTGCCGGCACACCGGGTTCTAGTCCCGGTTAGGGTGCCAGATTCTGTCCCGGTTGCCCCTCTTCCAGGCAAGCTCTCTGCTGTGGCCAGGGAGTGCAGTGGAGGATGGCCCAAGTGCTTGGGCCCTGCACCCCATGGGAGACCAGGAGAAGCACGTGGCTCCTGCCATCAGATCAGCGTGGTGCGCCTACCGCAGCGCGCTGGCCGTGGCGGCCATTGGAGGGTGAACCAACGGCAAAGGAAAACTTTTCTCTCTGCCTCTCTCTCTCTCTCACTGTCCACTCTGCCTGTCAAAAATAAAAAAAAATTATGTGTTTGTCTTTAGAAGAAAATACCCACTGTTTTTTCCTAACTTGTTAACTATTAGCTGCCAATTCCTGAGTGAGACTTTAGATCCGTGACCCTGGACAGTGCACGGTGTGCTTCCTCCATGTGCTCAGTGATGGACATGGTGCTCTGAGTCCCTGCTTGATTTTTCATAGCTTCAGACATTTTATGCCCCAAATGTGACATGATAGTTGTTTTTTGTGATAGTTCCTGTTAAAATGTTGTCTTAACTTTATCTCCCACATACAAGGGAGAACAGGCAGTATCTGTGATTCTCTGTCTGCCTTATTTACTTAGCATTCTGTTCAGCAATTGCATGCATTTTGTTGCAAATGGTAGAAGTTTGTTCTTTTTTATAACTGAATAATATTCAATTGTGTATTCCATTGCCACATTCCCTTTATCCATTTATGTTATGATGGATGCCTTGGGCAATTTCATATTTTGGCTGTTGTGAACAGTGCTGCTATAATGATGGTAGCACCACTGTCTTTTTGATACAGTGAATCCTGTCTATTGGGTACATGCTGAGAAGTGGGCTAGCTGGATCATATGGCAAATCTTTTTATATTCTAAGAAATCTGTGTACTGTACTGTTTTCCACAGTGGCTGCATTAATATACATTCCCACCTTTGTACTTTGGTGCTTACTCACATATTTTGTATTAGTTTCCTGTGTTTTTGGTGTCATATTCAACAAGAAAACAAAAGTCATTGCCAAGACCAGGGTCAGGGACCTTTGCCCCTGGGTTTTTCAATGTGGTAGCTTTATCCAGATTCTTATCTCTAACAGGAATGAATTTGAGGATGACACATAGGTAGAGGTAGTGGAAAAGGAAGATTACTATGCATGGAAAGTGAGAGTACACACTCCAGCACACTTTAGAGTGGCCTGCACTCTACATTTCTTGATGTGACCTAGAATCATAGGTGGCAGTGTCTGTGGCCATGTTTAACTGAATAGTCACTTGGGCTGGAATCTCAGGGCAGGGCTACAATACTCCCCAGTTCCTTGCCCCGGCTCAGTGCAAGATTGGATTGCATTGTTACGTACAGTTATTTATTATAACAACTGTATAGAGAGCTAAGAGTGATCACAGGTTGGAGGCTGCAGCCATGCTGGTGTCAGAGTTGATTTAGCAGGAGATATACTTTTCTACTGCATGGGCTGGGAAGGAGCTGGGCAGTGCATGCAGGACTGCAGGGAGGGCCTGATGACCTCAGCTACTCCTCGCTTGCTGCCTCCCTGCCTGTATGGGTTTTTAGGTTTTATATTTATAATTTTACATTTTTTCAGTAGTGTGTCTTATGGGTACAGCTGCATTATTTTACATGGGGATGTACAGTTTTCTCAGCACCATTTATTGAAGGGACTCTCCTTACTACATTGTATTTTTGCTAACTTTGTTGCAAATTAACGGATCAAGTATGATAGATTTCTCTCAGGGCCCCCTATTTTGTGCCTACCAACTCTTTGTCTGCCTTTCCCTTCTGAGAAATGTAGTGCCATGAAGTGGGATGCATTTGCTTTGTTATATATGTTGTTCATAAACATCGACCTTTCTTTCCTATTTTGATACTATTGACATCTTTCTAGTTCATTTTTTACACAAAAATCCTTGATCCATGACACAGAAGCTGATAAATGAAGTGGGAAAGATGAGAGATTAATGTGGAAATGAGCTCCACCAGAGTGGATTTCTGACCTAAAAACACAAGAGCAACAGAGGACTGAGCTGAAAGACCCACTGTAGATACCTGGACCCTGAGTTCCATTCCCAAGGTATTGCTGCAGTCTTCAGGAATCAGGAAGAGCTGTAGAGAGTGACAAGTCCTCAAAGAACAGTCAGCTCTGAGGGTGATGTGATGCTCCTGGGAACGTAATCATAGGTAAGAAATAACAAAACATAATCTGACATTTTCCATATAACTGAAACTATTCAGTAAATAAAATTATCACATGTTATCCAAGACACAGCCAGTTGATTCTATATGAATGGTTGAAAAATCTTAAATAGGAGGTATGGGATTTATAGCCGACTGCAGCAGCCATTGGAGGATGAACCAACGGTAAAGGAAGACCTTTCTTTCTGTCTCTCTCATTTTCCACTCTGCCTGTCAAAAAGTTTAAAAAAAAACTATAGAAAAGGAAAGAAAACTGTTTTGGAAATGTTTCATGGAATCTGACTTAAAAACATTGAACAGAAGTCAACTTTCAACAGTGGAATCTTATACAGCAATGCTAATTAATATTCTACAACAACTGAAATGGTATATATAAATTCACAAATAAAATAAGGAATGAACACAGTCCTAATGTATTTTTTGACAGGCAGAGTGGACAGTGAGAGAGAGAGAGAAAGATCTTCCTTTTCCATTGGTTCACCACACAAGGGCTGTTGTATCTGGTGCACTGTGGCCGGTGCACCGCACTGACCAGAAGCCAGGAGCCAGGTGCTTCTCCTAGTCTCCCATGCGGGTGCAGGGCCCAAGCACTTGGGCCATCCTCCACTGCACTCCCAGGCCACAGCAGAGAGCTGGACTGAAAGAGGAGCAACCGGGACAGAATCCAGCACCCCGACATGGACTAGAACCCAGGTGCCAGCACCGCAGGCAGAGGATTAGCCTATTGAGCCACAGTGCTGGCCAGTCCTAATGGATTTTTGATAAGTTTTTTCAATTATGACATAGAGGGCTGCAAGCTGCCTTCCCTTTCATGTGAGTCATGGTCACCTAGCAGAGGTGGTAATGGGTAGGGTGTGAAATGTGACTTCTGGCATGAGAGAAGGCTGGGGATATTCAGGTTTAGTAACCACTGTTGTGTACAGAGTAAGAACTATGCACTTGACTTTAACAATATTTAATACAGATCAAGAAAACATTGATAAGATGACAACAGTCTTGTTGGAGTGCCATCTTACAGTCCAGGTGGTGTCGCAGACTTTATGTCACTGCTCTATGATTAACTTTGAAAATTCTCCTGTAATTTCAAGATTAAAAATTGATAGATAGTAAAGATCCTCCCACCAAGTTTAGAATTGTCAAAACCATGCCGACAGGGGCTTCAGAAAGATTGAGAAGGATGTGTGTCAAGAAAATTTGGGGCATGAATTTAAGAAAAGTTTAGCGTCAAAAGGAACTTCTTTTTACCCCATTTTCCAAGAAAAATTTGAGGTAGTCTACTTTTTTTATTTTTTTATTTTTTTAACTTTTATTTAATGAATATAAATTTCCAAAGTACAGCTTATGGATTACAATGCCTTCCCCCCCATAACGTCCCTCCCACTCGCAACCCTCCCCTCTCCCACTCCCTCTCCCCTTCCATTCACATGAGGATTCATTTTCGATTCTCTTTATATACAGAAGATCAGTTTAGCATACATTAAGTAAAGATTTCAACAGTTTGCTCCCACACAGAAACATAAAGTGAAAAATACTGTTTGAGTACTAGTTACAGCATTAAATCACAATGTACAGCACACTAAGGACAGAGATCCTACATGAGGAGTAAGTGCACAGTGACTCCTGTTGTTGACTTAACAAATTGACACTCTTGTTTATGGCATCAGTAATCACCCTAGGCTCTTGTTATGATATGCCAAGGCTATGGAAGCCTTGATCATATTTAGACAAGGCCATGGTCAAAGTGGAAGTTGTCTCCTCCCTTCAGAGAAAGTTACCTCCTTCTTTGATGAGCCGTTCTTTCCACTGGGATCTCACTCACAGAGATCTTTCATTTTTTTTTTTTTAGAACAGAAATTCTAGCTGTTTGTCCAGCACACTGTGGTATGGGGACTGTTTTAAGAGACACACTTAAACTTTGAGAAGAATTAAGGAGTCCAGAATTCACAGGTGGAGGCTGGTGTAGGGCCCAGCAGTTAGCATGCAGATGCCATGACTTTCTCCAGGAGCAGGGGGCCTGGGTTTGACACCCAGCTCTGACCCCAGCTGCAGCTTCTGCTGACACTGACCCCAGGAGGCAGTGGAGATATCTCCAGCAATTGAGCTCATGGCTCCCATCTTTGACCCCCACCCAGGTCCAGGATACACATTTGGGAGGTGCATCACAGTACAACAAGCTCCATCTCTGTCCCTCAAGTAAATAAAGGAATAAATAAAAATTTTTAAGTATTAAAGAATACCAACTATGATCATGCATACAGGTTATATGCTCATGCTAAGTAGGGCACTTGTTATTCCTGGTGCAGGCACAGCAGAGATTGGGTACTCTGGAGTCATGGCTCATGAGAATGTAGGGGCTCACAGCTGGGAAACTCCCAGCGATTAGTGCAGAAGTGTTCACCAGCCACACACTGGGATTCTTTAAAACAGTCAAGCAAATGTGAAAGATGGAGGAGAGAGTGCTCAAGGACACAAAGGTGCTCACCAGGACGAGGATGCTGTAGGTGGCTCTGGACTCTGGGGAGGACCTGGAGTTGACATTGGTCCCATGGATGTATTGGACCTGCTGCCTGTGTCTGTACAGAATGAAAACCATGTAGCTGCTAGTCCACAGCATGAGACTCACAAAGAAAATATTTTGAAAACATACCAGGGCTGCATAGAGGGATGCTGTGGATTTTCCAGGATTTGCAGAATAACAGTATCCATGATCAACATTCTCTGTGATATTATTATCCTTCTGTTTCCCAGTCATATACACAGGCACCATGACATTTAGTATCAGGTTCAGCATCCAGCAGAGGATATTGCAGGACCCAATGTACTTGGGAGCTTTTGCTTTGAACTTGGCACATCTACTTTTACTAGGACTGATGGTGATGGCCTGTGAGACACTCAGGAGGCAGGTGATGCCAGTGGACACATCCTTGCTCACTCTGTGCACATAGAACACAAGCTTGCACCCAATATCACTGAGAAAATGCTTCATACCCAAAGCTGTCTTGGTTTGGGGGACTGCTTTCAAGAGAATGGCTAAGCAGTTGGCTACAGTCAGGTGTTTGATGATCAAATCTGTGGGTCTAAACTTATATCCTGTGAAGTAGAGATAGAGATAATGGGAAAGAAGAGAGAAATTCCCCAGGATTCCTGTAATAGTTTGTGATAAGAAGATTGTCCCCATTATCAAGTATCCAGTGGCTGACCCATCATCCCCCAGTGTCTGATTATTGTCTCTCATCTTGAGATTCCTCTATGGAATGTGGGGCATGAGCTCCATGTATTAATATCAACTAAAATTCAGTTTTCTCTATTCACATGAATCTTTATTTACATCAGCTCATACTTAGTGATAACTGGTTACTACTTTTTGAACACATTACCAAAGATTTGGATAAATAATCTTTAAGGCTATTTGTACCATGCTAATTACAGGCATGAGAGACACATGCAGTAATTCCTGTATTCTTGATAACTCCATGAGAAGGCAGCAGGCTTCATTTCATTGGAAATAAAATGTTCATGCAGGCAGCTTCATGTTGCTGATTTGTCTAAATTGACTTTTTTTAATATGCTGATGGACTGTTGAACCTGGCTGGGCTTGTACTAACACTTTCACATTAAACACTTTGTTCTTCTAACAGAGCTGCTTAGCTGTGTTCTTCAAATGAGACATATGTATACTTTGCTATTCTCATGCCTGGTCTGTCCATCTTATACTGCTGGTATTTGTTTCTTCATTAGGTGTGTATTAGCTTACCTTTGTGCATGAAGGGTTGGTCCATAAGCCCACATCAATAATAACTTGCATTTAGGTATCATATTAAGATGAAGAGAACATGACTGTAGTATAATTTTCTGGAACCTTTCTCCTTGAAAATTCTACTTAGATAACTCAAAATTGGCTGTATATTGGGAAGACAATAGAAACATTATTTGGTATTTGTACCAAGAAAAATGACACTCAACTAGTGAAAACATGTGTGCCCTATAAGATGGAATATTGACACCAGTCTGTGGTGAAATCAAGTAAGATAGAAACTAACATACTTTTTTCTTGTAATATACTTGTGTCTACTATGAATAAATAAAGGTATTTTCCATAGGTCAAGATAATTGAAAGGTAAGGAAGCATAGGTCATATATGCCACAAGCAGCCTCTAGTACGAAATCTTGTGTATTTTATCACTTGAAATTGTAGAACTAGCTGATGAGATGAAAATATTTCAATCCAGAGCAAATGCCAGTAGGTACATTTGAACCTCAAAGTTGCCATTTGAAACTCAACACTACAGCATAACTCTGCTTTTTCCTTAAATAGGCTCTCCTTACTTGAAGATAAAAAATTATCTTACCATAGTCTAGGAACATGGATGTTTTCTATAAGAAATAATAACTGTCTCCATTGAGCAGATCATACAACAGAGTGAGAAAAAGCATTTCTATTCTAGCAGCTGCCACTTAGGCCCACTGTGTCAGCCCAGTATTGAAAGAATAATCTTGTAGGCTTGACTTGTCTAGGTCTCAAGTACATTCAGTTCTACAGATACATTTCTAAAAATTATGAAATTTTTTGTCTGTGACACCCATGGTGCGCTAAACACCAGATTTATTTTGGAACTGCGGTCCCTAAGTATGGACAGCAGATTTCATGACTTTTGATTAAACAGCAAAAATCAGTATCATTGTGGATGTCACCAAATTACTTTAAGAGCCATCAGGGATTGGAGCAGGGTGTAGGAGCCACATCCCTGTCCTAGTTCAGTACCTGCTCAGAATCCTTCCTGCTTCCTGTGAGGCCGGGTCACAGAGCTAGGTGCAAATACAGAGGAATCCTCATTCTCACCTGATCACTCACGCAGACTCCAAGTACACCTGCTTGCCTAAAGCCTCCCTCTTTCTCATTGACAGAAAATCTCCAATTTCTCTTGGCTGTCTGGACAAGCCTGGTGTTAAGGTCACCACAGTTAGCACTGGGTGGGCTGGAGGCAGCTGGAGCACTAGAAATGGAGTGTACCTGTGATCTCACCTCCCTGCAGGACTGCAATTATCTTTTCACCTTGCAATTGCAATGAAAGAAAAGTTGGATATTAAAGATATTTGTAGAAACTCTCCCTCTTGCTGATTAATTAAAACAATTACAACCTGTAGTTACAATCTCCAAAGAGGCTGTGAAAGTCTTTTAAAATGGCTCTTCCTGATCCCAGCTCCCTGGAGCAGACAAGGGCTGACCTGGAGGGAGCAGGAACCCTGAATCTGACATGAGAGGAACTGACAGGGAAGCTCCTGTGTCTCCCAGCATTCACAGAAGATTTCTGTCTATCGCAGGGTGAGTTCTTCCCCAAACTTCAGACCCCTAAGCACATCATTTATGTGCTGAGCAGAGCAATGGGGAGAATGCTCCTGAAAAAGTTTTTCAGAGACACAGGTGCAGTGGAGAATGTGATGGGCATAGCTTACATGAGAAGCTACTGGATTTGACACTCAAAACAGTCTGTTTGAAATCACAGAGAACATGGGGGTTTTATAGCAAAAATGCTTTACCAGTATTTTCCTTTCTTTCTAATCCCCAGTGAATACAGGAAGCTAACGGAAAAAACATCTATAGACTTTGCAAGTATTTGAGCGCTCATCAGAGAAGCTGTGATGTAGCAGTCATGTTTCAATATAACCTTAACTACCACATCAGCCATGTTACCTCCTCAATTCAGCACATTGGAATGTGTATCATGGCTTTCTCTCCCCATGATTTTCTTTATGCTCAACGGTTGGCAGTCTTGGTTGATTGTGTGGTTAATGACAAAAGGTAACATTTAAGTTCAAAATTATGCATTTGTTTTTAGAAGAAAATACCCACTGCTTTTTCCTATGTGGTTATCTAACAGCTATCAATTCCTGAGACTTTAGATTCGTGACCCTGGACAGTGCACGGTGTGCTTCCTCCATGTGCTCAGTGATGGACAAGGTGCTCCGAGTCCCTGCTTGATTTTTCATAGCTTCAGACATTTTATGCCCCAAATGCGACATGATAATTGTTTTCTGTGATATTTCCTGTTAAAATGTTGTCTTAACTTTATCTCCCACATACAAGGGAGAACAGGCAGTATCTGTGATTCTCTGTCTGCCTTATTTACTCAGCATTCTGTTCAGCAATTGCATGCATTTTGTTGCAAATGGTAGAAGTTTGTTCTTTTTTATTGCTGAATAATATTCAATTGTGTATTCCATTGCCACATTCTCTTTATCCATTTATGTTATGATGGACTCCTTGGGCAATTACATATTTTGGCTGTTGTGAACAGTGCTGCTATAATGATGGTAGTGCCAATGTCTTTTTGGTACAGTGAATCCTGTCTAATAGGTACATGCTGAGAAGCTGAGTCACTGGATCATATGGCAAGTCTCTTTCTATATTCTAAAAAATCTCTGAACTGTGTTGTTGCCCACAGTGGTTGCATTAATATACATTTCTACCAACAATATATAAGAAAGTGTATCCAAGGAAATATGTGATATCTGAAAGAAGGAGGTACCTTTCTCTGAAGGGAAGAGAGAACTTCCACTTTGACTATGGCTTTGTCTAAATAAGATCTGAGTTGGTGAACTCAAGAAGCTTCCATAGACTTGGCAGCTCATGACAAACTGGTAAAGCCACTATGGAAGTCAGTCTAAAGATTCCTCAAAAACCTGAATATAACCCTACCATACAACCCAGCCACCCCACTCTTTGGAATTTACCCAAAGGAAATTAAATTGGCAAACAAAAAAGCGGTCTGCAGCTTAATGTTTATTGCAGCTCAATTCACAATAGCTAAGACCTGGAATCAACCTAAATGCCCATCAACAGTTGAATGGATAAAGAAATTATGGGATATGTACTCTATAGAGTACTATACAGCAGTGAAAAACAATGAAATCTGGTTATTTGCAACAAAATGGTGGAACATGGAAAACTTCATGCTGAGTGAAATAAGCCAGTCCCAAAGGGACAAATACCATATGTTCTCCCTGATCGGTGACATCTAACTGAGTACCAAAAAGGAAGCCTGTTGAAGTGAAATGGACACTATGAGAAGCATTGACTTGACCAGTGCTTGTACTGACTGTTATGACCAACTTAATAATTTATCCCTTTTAGTACTTTTTTGTACTACTTAATACTATTGGTTGAACTCTGTATTTAACACACAATTATTCTTAGGTGTATAAATTTAACTGAAAAGTGATCTCTGTTAAATATAAGAGTGAGAATAAGAGAGGGAGGAGATGTACAGTTTGGGACAGGCTCAACCTGACTTGCCCCAAATGGTAGAATTAAAAATGTGCCAGAGGATTCCAATTCAATCCCATCAAGGTAGCATGTCCCAATGCCATCTTACTAGTCCAAGTGATCAGTTTCAGTTCACAATTGATCATAATGATAGGATTAAGAGTCAAAGGGATTACATAAACAAGACTAGTGTCTGCTAATACTAACTGATAGAATTAAAAAGGAGAGAACTATCCAACGTGGGAAGTGGGATACACAGCAGACTCATAGAATGGCGGATGTCCTAAACAGCACTCTGGCCTCAGAATCAGCCCTTAAGGCATGTAGATCTGGCTGAAGAGCCCATGAGAGTATTTTAAGCATGGAAAGGCAAGACACTCTGGCAAAAAAAAAGACCTAAATGAAAGATCTCTGCAAGTGAGATTCCAGCAGAAAGAATGGGCCATCAAAAAAGGAGGTGCCTTTCTCTGAAGGGAGGAGAGAACTTCCACTTTGACTACGACCTAGTCTAAATAAGATTGGAGTTGGTGAACTCAAAAGGCTTCCATAGCCTTGGCAACTCATGACAAAAGCCTAGGGTGATTGCTGATGCCATAAACAAGAGTGTCAATTGTAAAGTCAACAACAGGAATCATTGTGCACTTACTCCCCATTTAGGACCTCTGTCCTTAATGTGTTGTACAATTGAATTATTATATAACTAGTACTCAAACAGTACTTTACACTTTGTGTTTCTGTGTGGGAGCAAACTGTTAAAAGCTTTACTTAATATATACTAAAACATAAGAGTGGGAATAAGAGAGTGAAGAGATGTATAATTTGGGACATGCTCAAGCTGACTTGCCCCAAATGGTAGAGTTAGAAACATACCAGGGGATTCCAATTCAATCCCATCAAGGTGGCATGTACCAATG